TTCGAGCGAGGCTGGCCATGGAATATGGTTGAGGATGGACCGAAGATGACAGAAGAGGCAAGGATGCAAGGATACCCTTGGGATGTCGATCATCCTTACAGTCAGTTCTGACTGTAGGGGCGGACGGAGAGAAGCGAGGTGGAATAAGGAGAGGGATAAGGTAAGCACAACATCGAGGAAATTTGCATGCCTGCGCGCGCACAAAACCGTGGACGGGACAACCGCCTCGCACGTCAAGTCCCATGTGAGTTAAAGTAGAATGCTCGACTGGTCGCAAGCCCGTGCTCGAGCGATTGATCTGAGACAGACATGAAGAGGGCAGAGCGGAAGGCAGGAGAAGAGGGCGGGGAGAAGGAGGTTCTTTCTCACAAAGGGTGATGCCTGCATGCCTGTTCATGCAGGAGAGAGGGCTCGACCTGGACACTTGAAAGCTTGGGGTGCTTACCCTTGCAGATCCATCAAGGCCTTCGCAATCGGCGGGGTGAAGGATGGCTCGAAGAGAAAGTGAGCAGGGAAGGGGAAACAACTGACGCCAGATCACAAAACGAGGCTCGCACGGCGCGACAGAAGCCGATGATCATGTTCAGACAGCGTGCAAACCAAGCGTACGAGAACACGTTGCGATCTTACGAGAACACGTTGCGATCTTAACTGCACCGATACGCAACACGCAACACGTTGCGTGCTGACGGAACTCAAGACGTAGATTGGAAGCGTACGTCTGACGCGATGCGTTCGCCAAAACGTGGGCCAGTCCGTGGAGCCAACGCGCAGCGTGTTGACACGTGCGTGTTGCACTCGGCACGTGCTGCGTCTCAACACGGGCGTCTCAGGGCAGCTCAGGCAGCGGTGCATTCCGCACCCGGGCGGAGGCCACACAGCGCGGCTGACCTGCATGGCCAGGCGCCTGCCCGGCCGGCCCTCGCCAGCCGCGCGGCCACCGAACGCGGGCCCAGGAGGCAGAAGCAGCCAGAGGCGACCTCACGGGCCCGGGCCCGCGCAGGCGCGGACTGGAGCTGGCCATCACTCGGACGTCCACTCCTCGTGCCCTTTGCTGTCTCGTGCGTTTTTTGCTCCTCAGTGGCCCTCGCCGACAAATGATGCACACGCCCTTGGGGTGCCAAGGGGGCGAGGGGCTGTCCTGCCCATGCGGAGAACCAGCAGCCAAAGCAATCGCCCGCGCCTCGCGCCTGACGGGGGGCGGGGGCCTCACGCCCGCAAGGGGAGGACCCAGGAGACTCGGGGCCTCAAGGCGCACAGCGCCTGTTTGTCTCCAGGCGCCTCGCGCCCTCCACTGAAGCGTAAGAGGGCCACGCCTCGCGAGACGGACCAGCAGCCCAGACAGCCGCCCGCCCATGGTGCGGCCTCTCTTGTCCCGCGCAAGAGATGACGAGGCAGTGCCGCAGACCCGCCGCGAGCACCAGCCTGCCTGACTGCAACACGCTCCCGCGCGAGGCCAGGACCGCACAGGCTCCCCCGCTCGGCCGCGCGGCGACGGGCACCGTGCTCTCCAAGTCCCTTTCGTCCCCACCTGCCGCCCTCTGACGACGCCGCGCGCACCGCCCCCCTCACTGATCGGGGAAGGGGGGCGGGGTCGACCCAGCCACCCAGGCCAGGAGGAATCGGAATCGGCATGCGGCATGCAAGTAGGGCGTCGACAACGGTTACCGCATGATTCAGCGGGTGGCAGGACGAATGAGAAGCACCCGCCTCCTCGCACGCATGGGCAGAGCAGTCCCTTAGTCACACATCCCAGCCTGCTGCACCAACTGTGCCCCTGCAGCATGAGCACGGGCAGAACTATCCAGAGACGCACGAGATAAGTGACAGCGTGCATTGCGCAGTAGCAAGCCACAATCATGCGCTGACAAGCAAGGTCTCTGCCTTCGTCCGATTGGCTCCTGGCTAGACCAAGCCTGCAGTTTAGAACATGTGGCATGGGGCTGGAGGGGCACGGGAATTTGACCACCGCTTGCCACAGGGCAGGGCACGACATGTGATGAGCCCGATTGTCCGTTGCCTCCGCTGCCGCACAGCCGAAAACACACTGGCGGTCAAGGTGCGTCATCCTCCGTTTCCGTAGGCCACCCCCCTCCCAACGCCTTTAGCACGGGCATCTGCCACTGCCAGGACGGTGGGGCACTCAAGGGGCAGGATCTGAGAGACTGCCACGAGATCCCTCGGAGAGCCTGAGCAGACGGGGGGCGGGACGCCCAGGACGAGAGTCTCTTGCAGAAGGTGACCTCCAGAGCATCTTTGGAAAACTCATTCCCTAGAAGGTCCGCCCGAAGACTCGCTGGACCTGGATGCAGCCTGCTTCGCTACTGCACCGGGCCCCGCGCGAAGAACTCGATGAGCCGGAGATGTCCCAGCTCTAGCCTTCGCGAGGCAGTTCGTTTGGCCGCCTTCAGGTCGGGAAGAGGAGGGGGCGATCGCAGGGGCGCCTGCGCGACCCGAACCTGCTACGGGGCGTGCGACCTGAAAAAGGGTTCGCGTCCCTCCTACGCCGACGTGTAGAAGGGGGGCGAAAAAACACGGAAGGATGGAGAAAGAGAAAGAGGGAGAGTGGGAGATGAGGGCAAGGGGGCGGAGTGGACGAGGAGGGGCGGAGGGAGGATCTCCTTCCCCTTCTAAGACCCACTCCAAACCATCTGGTAGTCTCTGGAGGTCCCTGGAGGACCCCAGAGGCTTCCAAAGGGCCTCGGGAGCCTGAGGAGACCTCCGGACGGCGCCAGAGTATCTGGAGGGCTCCTCCTCCGCCTCCTCTCGGGGCGGACGAGAAGGGGTGACAGCAAGAGGGGTTCACGAATCAGCTCATGTAGGTAGCTGGTTTCCACGGCGCCTCCTGGCGCCGCAGGCGCTAGCGGTGGGGTCGAAACCAGCTGCGCGTAGCAGATTTCGCACCTGCCCTCTCTCCATCCCCCCCTTTGTCCGACCCGATACTCCTTCTCAGACATGCGACGTCCTGATTTTTTCAATACCGCCCACCCAGACGTCCCGACCCTTCCCCTGGGACAAACTCTTCATCCTGAATCGTGTCTTGCCTGCCCCAAGGCCCGGCGACGGCCCCCCGAAGCCGAACATCTGAAGAAACGGTACGTCGTGATTCTCTTGGCGACGCCACCACGTCCAGGCTCTCCGGGTCCGAACGCCGGAGGTCCCCCACGACTGCCCGCAGGTTGGCTCCTCGATCGCAGCACCTCCAGCGACGGGGCGCCGCCGGCAGGGGCCTGGCGCGGGCGACCCGCCCGACGACTGCCGCAGTCGCGACGGTTGTCGCCGTCGTCGTCCTCCATCTTCCCATCCCCTTCCTCGCGCTCCCCTCCCGTTTCTGTTCCCCTTCCTCTTTGTCCACTTTCCCTCCTCCTTCTCCTCCACCTCCTCCCCCTTCTTCTTATTATTCTTTTTCGTAATAGTATTACTATTCGTATTATTATGATTATTAATATTATTATTATTATTATTATTATTATTATTATTATTATTATTATTATTATTATTATTATTATTATTAGTATTAGTATTAGTATTAGTATTAGTATTAGTGTTAGTATTATTTCTATTGTTATTATTATTATTAATATTATTATTATTAATATTCTTATTATTATTATTAGTATTATTATTATTGTTATTATTATCAGTATTATTATTAGTATTATTTCTCTTCATATTATTAACATTATTATTCTTAGTCGTATTGTTATGCTTACTCATGATATTATCATTATTCGTATCATTATTTTTATTCGTCGTATTATGGTTATTCTCCTTCTATCGGAGGTCGGGGGGTGAGATCGCAGTGTAACGGAATCCCCCCACCGGGAAATCGAGTTTCGAGTTCGTGCTCGTGCCGCGCGCGCGGAAGAGGCGAAGTTGCGTGGGCGGGCGAGAGGAATTCACTCTGCTGTCGCGGGGGGTCCGCCAACACAAATGTTTCCCCCTCCGGCCTTGTCAAGCGGGGGCCCGCATTGTCCCGTCGGTGGCTCGCCGTTGTCCCGTCGGTGTCCCGTCGGTGTCCCGTCGGTGTCCTGTCGTGAGATCGATCGTGAGATCGATCGCACACTCGGTCTCACATTCGGTCCCACTACCGATCTCACTATAGATATCACCATCGATCCCACATTCGGTCTCATAATCGAGCTCACGATCGACCGCACCATCGATATCACTATCGATCTCGTTTTCGATCTCACAATCGATCTTACCATCGACCCCACAATCGATCTCACTATCGGTCCCACTATCGATCTCACGATCGATCTCACATTCGGCCTCACTACGGAACTGACGATCGATATCACCATCAATCTCACGATCGATCTCACAATCGGTCCCACCATCGATCGTTCAATCGATCTCATAATCGGTCTCACTATCGATCTCACAATCGATCTAAAGATCGATCTCACAATCGATCTCACAAGCGATCTCACTATCGATCCCACTATCGACCTCACATTCGATCTCACAATCGATCTCACTTTCGGTGCCACTATCAATTTCACGATCGACCTCACTATCGATCTCACTATCGATCTCACTATCGATCCAGCATTCGGTCTCACATTCGGTCTCACAATCGATCTCATTATCGATTTCACCATCGATATCACTACCAATCTCACTTTCATTTGGTATCATGGGCCGGGGGGTGCCGTTCTTGGACCACTTAGTCGTCAGAGGACAAATAACTGCCGTCATCTATTGGCCACACCATCCTTCCAGTTCCCCTGCTTGTGCGAATTCGCATTTATCAGCATCTCCTCATCGTCATCACCGCCATCACCATCATCATCATGACCGTCTTCATCTTGATCCGCCTCGTCCTCCCCCTCCTCCTCCATCTCCTCCTCCCCCGCCTCCTCCTCCTCCTCCTCCTCCTCCTCCTTCTCCTGCCCCTCACTGTCCTCCTCCTCCGGCTCAAGGCGCCCACTGCGGTCGCGCCACCCCCCCAGGGCGCCCCCCTCGCGCATTTCTGCGGCCGGGCCATCCACGAGATGGGGGGCCGCGTGGATGACATGAAGAAGGCAGGGCTCATGAAGTACGCTGCCAGTCTTGGAGCCCCCACCAGGAAGCCGGCGGCGCCGACGCAGCGGCGCGCAGTCAAAGACGTGCGCGAGGATGGCAAGCTGCGGGAGGCCGCTCAGCGGCAGCCTTCCCCGGCGCGCGCGGGCGAGCCAGGCGCTGCCAGCTCCGACCGGGCGGCGCCGTCAGTTTCACACGGGCCCGCGTCGGTGCAGGCCCCGGCGCGCGCGGGCGAGCCAGGCGCTGCCAACTCCAGCCTGGCCGCTCCGTCCGTTTCACGCGGGCCCGCGTCGGCGGGGGCGCCAGGTGCGCGCGCGGGCGGGCCCGGCTCTTCCAGTTTGAACCAAGCACAGGTAGCGCCGTCCGCTCCCGCCACGGCTGCACGGAAACCGGTCGCGGGGGCGGCCGATGTCACCTCCAGCGACGCGTGGGAAATGAACCAGAAAGAGTTGCATGCACTGGCGACCTCGTTGGGGGCCGGGACTCGGGAGAACAGGAAGAGCTCGGGGGCGCTCCGGGCGGCGCGCTGTCGCGCCCTCCCGCAGGCCCCGCAGCGACAGCACTCCCGGGCGGGCGCGAGTGAGCCAGGCGCTGCCAGCTCCGACCTGGCGGCGCCAGCAGCTTCGCGTGAGCCCGCGTCGGGGCCTCGCACTGCCAGCTCGAGCCAGGCGCAAGTTAAATCGCCCGCCTCCGCCACCGCGACGCAGAACCCGGTCGCGGGGGCGGCCCGGGCAGAGCATGAACATGAAAGAGTTGCGTGCGCTGGCGGCCTCGCTGGGGGTCGCAGCTAGGGACACCCGACAGTCCACGAGGCTTCTCCGCTCGGCGTGTTGTCGCGCCCTCAAAGGGCAGGTTGGGATAGCTTCCTTTTCCCAGCCTGCCGTGGCCCCAGGCCCCAGGCGCCCCGGGCCGAAAAGCAGGCGACGCGCCAGTCTCTGACAGCGCATCTGCACTGGATCCAATCCCAGCGAAGCCGCGCGAACGACCGAGGGCCGTTCGCAAACCGTCGTGGTTGCGTAAACCAGCCTGGCTGTCTGCACAGACAGCGCGCCAGAAGAAATGCGGGGAGCGGCGCGCTCAGCGCGCGCTCCGTAAGGATTGCATCCACGACAAGATCCGCAACAAGCGCCCTCAGCGCGCGCTGGCGGCTGCCAAGCGGGGCAAGAAACGATATCAAGGACTTCGCAGAGAGAGAGAGAGAGAGAGCAAAGCGCAAGCATCGAGTGTTGAAATCCCGCAGGGAGGCGCCTCGCGCGAATCGGAGGCTGGCGATGCCGAAGAGCGCCAGGGCAGAGCGTGCTGGTGTCCTCGGCAGGGAGGGCAGCTGGAAGCGGGCGGCGGAAGAGTCTGCCAGGCTCTGCCAGCAGGACGGCCCCAGTCACTTACCGCCGTGTTACGCGGGGCTGTACCAGGAACCCCAGCGGAGGCTGACCTCGCAAATGTGCGGGCGCCTGGAAAACGCGCAGTGGGCAACGTGCGTGGTGCGCTGGCGCGCGCGGTATGATTTGCCTGCCGAGTACGAGTTCTCGCACGCGCAGCAGGGGCTCAGGGCGCAGCAGGCTCCGTGGTTTGACCCAGGCGCGAGCGTCATCACGAGGGCGTCGGTGGAGGAAGCGCAGTGCTACCTGGCGGCAAACTACCCTTCAGGGGGGTGCGAGAGCATCGCCCGCAGACTGCACGACCCAGAGAGAAGGAGGACCATCACGATTTGCGGTGGTTGCCACATGCACGTCGGCGAAGATAACGTTCTCCCGCCCCCCGCCGGCGAGATGCGCACGCGCGACTTCGTGGCGGGCCCGGTTTAGTGCGCCCGAGGAGCGATGGGCCCGCGATCGCGCATGAGCGCTTCGACGGCGCTCCCCCGCCAGGCCCTGCCAGCGAGGAGGCGTTCTCCAGAGTGCTCGGTTTCAGCGTGGGCGAGTTCGCGCACCCGGCGGCCGCACTTTCTTTCGGGCCACGAGGAAATGGTATTGGCATTGGCGCATCCGCTCGTGCAGGTGCACACCACCCCTCGCACGGGTCAGTTGGCGCACGTCGGCCACATCTGCAACTTTCGCCAAAAGGTCAGCAAGTTCCTCAAGAGTCTGCCGGTCATGCCTGCGGACATGCCTGTGGTGCACGTTCGCCCCCGCGCGCTAGGCTTTGCCGGCGCCAAGGGAAAGTCGGCGGGCCGGGCCTTATTCAGAGTCGACATCTCCAAACTCAAGGCTGCCTTTTTATGGTCGAAGGCGAACAGCCCATATCATGCGAAAGTTGAATGGCGGGGCGACGCCGCCGACGCGTGGGCCGGCGACGACGTGGAGGTGGGCACGACGCGCGAGGCCGACAGCGACGCCTCCCATGCCCCTCCGGTCACTCCGACATGTTTCGCCAGGTGGATGGAGCACGGCCGGACTGAAGCCGTCGCCGGTGACTTCGGGCATGTGATCGGGAACCGACTGCGGGAAGTCATCTCGGACGGGGATTGCGATGACGAGGGCCCAGGTCCCGCCGGCGCCGCAGGCTCTCGCACGTGGGCGGAGGTCCGGCGCCTCGTTGCAGATGTGTTCGGGAAAAACGTTTTTCGCATGGCCACCACGCTTCCGCGGGATATCCCTGCAGTGGCCTTGGCCGCGCGGGGCGTCCTAGACCTGGGTTTACCTCGGGGCGGGGGCGCCACAGACACGCTTCGGGCACTCCGGTCCCTCGACACAGACGAGCGCCCGGTGGACCTCCACGTGTTCCGCGCCGAGCTGGACGCCGCCATGAAGGAGGAGCACGACGAGGACCCGCAAGTCGTTCACGCTGGCACGACCGCGTCTGCCGAGGTGGGCGACGATGTGGGGCCGCGGCAGGGGGTGCTCGACTCGCTGGCCCACGTGGCGCAGGAGGTCATCGGGCGGCCAGTCGATGAGCCAGGCTCTGCCAGCCCGCGCCCGGACGAGGCGCCTGAGGTGGGCGCGGCGACGGCGGGGGGCCCATCGAACGACGCGCCGCGACAAGGACCCGCCGACGAGCCCACCGCGGCGCCAGGCTCTGCCAGCGCGTGCCCCGACGAGGACCCGCCGGCCCACGGTCGGCCGGTCAAGTACCCGCGAGTGGACCCTCCGGAGGTGGAGGACCAGCCCGGGCAGGCCATACGGGAGGACACGCCTGGGTACATTGCGAAAGCGTTCCCGAAATTGCTTCCATATGGGGCCGGCGACTATCGCGGCGCCAGGCCCTGCCAGCGCCGAACGCTTCGCTTCGAGGAGTGGGGTCGGCATGTGATGTTGTGGCACGACGGCCGGCTCATGCGCCACACCCGCTTTCGGCACTGGCTCCTGGACACCATGCTCCGGGCCATGGTCCCAGGCGCCCAGCGGACCTTCCGCGCGCGCAAGGCGTGCGAGGAGTGCTCGGTCATGGACAAGACCAAGCGGCGCGAGCTGGTGCAGCAGATGTCCACTGTGACGAATCTGATACCGGGACCCATCGGCGAGAGGCGGAAGATGCGTCAGGAGCTCGAGGCGATGGTCCACCAGATCGAAGCAGAGACGGCTGACCTCGGAATGAACGGGGGCGCCGGCAGGATCCCGTCTGGCTTTCGCACACTCACGCGCAGCGTGTACAAATGGGCACAATTGCACGCGACGTTGCTCAAGGCGTGCCCGTCCAGCGACGCTGGCGATGCTTCATGTAAGGAGTATTATACGCAGCGGGAGCCCCTTTCCCCAGGCCCTGCCAGGGAGGCTGCCATGAGAAAAAAAGAAGAAGGACCCCCCCCCCCAAAAAAAAAACGCATTACCAGTTGGCTGTTCGGGATCCCGGAGCGGTGGCGCGGCATTGCGCGGTGAAGCTGGAGATGGCCACCGCCTTGACCGACGCCTTGCTGACCGACGATGCGCCTGGGCGCGCCGACGCGCAGCAGAAAGTCGAGGCGGAGCTGGCCCCCCGCACGGGGGTCGACATCTCCGTGGACGACATCCCTGACTTGAGCCACTTCGGCCAGGTCGTCCGGGCCGCGGGGCACCTTGGATGGGGGAGGGGGGTGGTGGTGATGATGATGATGAGGAGGATGAGGGTGGTGATGGGGGCGGCGGCGGCGATGGCGATGAGGATGACGACGACGAGGAGGAGGAGGAGGAGGAGGAGGAGGAGGAGGAGCGGGACTGGGAGTAAGAGGACGAGGAGGAATGGGAGGGGGAGGAGGGAGGAGGAAGAGGAAGAGGAGGAGGAGGAGGAGGCGGCGCCACCTCGGCCATGCAGATGACTGATACGCGAGCTTCGAGTGGAGCGAGGGCGGCATCAACCATGCCCACATGGCCTTCTGGGTGATCGGTGCTCCTCGCATCGACATGGTCGAGGCGCCCAGAGAACCAGCCCCGGGCTCTGCCGGGGTGGAGATCGAAGCGCCTCTGTCTGGCCAACATGCGGTGCCGCAGGCGCAGGCGGCGGATCGCCTAGCCGCGTTCTGGGATCGCGCCTACACCTAGTACAACGTAGCGAAAGCAATGTGTCCGGCGCCTAGCGACGGTCCGCCAGGCTCTGCCGGCGCAGCCCCCCCTGCCAGCCCCTCAGCGCCAGGCTCTGCCAGCCCAGACTTGGCAGGCGAAGTCGGGGTGCGCCAGGGGATCGGGCCCGCGCGCGAGAAGCAGGTGCGATCTCCGGAGAGTATATCGCATGAGGCCCACGCCCGCTGTCTGTTGGGCAGTCTGGACTCCGGCGGCGCCGACAGCGATCGTTGTTGGGCCGACTTGGTCGACGTGCTGGAAGGGTGTTCCAGGACACCGCGCGAAGTCTTGGAGGCGGAGTTCCTTGAGCCAGGCTCTGCCAGCTTGGAGGCACGCCAAGCGAGGGCCAGACTTCGTTTCGTCGCGGCTCTTGCAGAATGGGTGAACATGCACGACCTGCACAAACCCTGCGCCGTGGGCCCACCTGCAAAAGACCAGCCGCGCGCGCACGTGGACGACGAACGCTCCAACATGGAGCGAGTCTCTTGTAAGAAGTTGTCCCCACGAAAGACCGCGACCCCTGGCGAGGAGGAGGTCGCGGAGGGCCAGGGCCGGCGTGACTTGCACAGGCTGTGGCTGGCCCGGAACTGCAACTTCCTGAACAATTTCGCCCGGGCTGTCATGCTGGCGACGCTGTCGAACATGGACTTCCGAGCCACTCTCACCAAAGACGCGGTCATCGAGTACATGACGAAGTATACATGACCATGTCTGGGCAGGGCGCGCTGATCCAGGTCATGGAGCATAGCTTCTCCGTGTGCGTCGAGAAGGCGAGGGAAAACCACCGAGGAGCAGGCGGCGCAGTGCTTCGTTGGTTCAACCTCCAGTCAATCAGCGAGGTCAAGCCGCAGCTCGAGCGCACGCACCTCATCTTCGGTGCCCCGCGCTTCATGCGCACACGAGAGTTCCGGCACCTCTACCTCAGAGCTGAGACGAGGCAACCCAAGACCAGGGCGAAGCTCGTGTCGGAAGCTGACCCTGGGGCTCGCATCGTCGAGAAATCCGCTCCGAGTGGACACTCCCGTCCGACGCAGCGCCGCTGTGGAAATTTTTCCTTCGCAGAGCGGGCGCGCCAGTGCCGGGGGGCGCCACGCTCCGCGACGCCAAAGACGACGTGCAGCGCAACTGGCAGCTCTTCCTGGAGTTGCTTGGGTGGTGGGAGTTCAAACGGTGCTTCAACCGTTGCGGCGGGAGCGCGCCAGGCTCTGCCAGCGTCGCGCTGAAGCCCGTCGCAGACACTGTCGTCATCCATCCAGCGGGCAGGTTCACCCAAGCGAATACTGAAGCTCAGTGGCGCAACGCTTGCTTCTGGACTCTTCTGGCACACTGCAACCGCGGGGACGCGTGCGCTGGCGCGTTTCGGGACGCAGATCACTTGAGCCAGTTTTTGGATGAATCTGCGGCCGAGCTGATGGAGCGTTTCGCCACTGATTCTCCGGCAGATCGCGCGAAGGCACGCATGGCGCAATGCCCGCCCAATATTGCAAAGGCGTGGCATCTCGGGATGGCCAGGCGCAGCCGGGCGGAGGAAAGAAAGCACTCCGCAGCTCGGGTGGCCGCCGCCATCGCCCCGGTGAAGAAGGTGAATTACATCTTCGTGGAGGGGCAAGCAGATTGGAAGCAGATGCCGTGGGGGGACATGGCCGTGACTGACCAGGAGGAGGCGACTCAGGCCCGGCACAAGGCGGAGCAGGCCGGCCCAGGCTCTGCCAGGCAGCATGACGGGCCGGAGGTCCGGGATGAGGCGGCCGCGGCGGAAGAAGAAGAAAACGAGAAGATCAATGAGGCCATGAAGGCTTTCATCCGGAAAGACCTCAAGTGGGCGCACAGAGAGCTCCACGATGCTCTTCTTGTTGCGGGGATCGCGACCCCTTCGGCCCCTTCCATGGATGCGCTCTACGCGCAATACGGGAACGCTGACGCCGGCTTCCTCCCGCAGTCGTTCAAAAGCCATACGCAGGACAAGCTGCAGCGCACTCTGCGCAAACTGGGTCGCACAGGCTTGAAGCTCGGTGGTCAGATCTCCGACACACAATGTGCTCGCAGAGCGGCTGGCGCGCTGGCTCAACAGAGTCTTGAAAGCAGGTCGCGAGGCGCCAGAGGGCGCGCCGGGCGGCGAGGACGACAGCGCCGACGACCTCGGGGGGCGGCCACGCAAAGAAAAAACGATCTTTGTGGAGCACGCCGCAAGTGTCGGCGAGATTCCCTGGAACGCACGAGCGTCACCTGAGCAAGCGGAAAGCGCCATCGGCAGGACCATCGCCACGGAGCTCGACGTTGACTACACAGATGCTGCGGACGCCGACGCCAAGGAGGAAGAGGAGGCCCTCGCGGGCCACCAAGTGCACCCGAGTGGCTTCGGATACGACTGTATCTCGTGGCAGCCCCTCGCGCCAGACTCTGTCAGCGCCGACACGGTCGGCTGGGAGCTGGCCCGTCCTGTTCGGCAACTCGCGCGCGCAGATTTCAAGTGCTCCAAGGAAAGCATCGCAGCGAATTTGCGGAGCGGCCTGGCGAGCCTCGCCGCGGAGTTCCGGAACGAGATGGCCTCGGCGCACTCGGACTTCGACGCCGCCGCACAGGAGCTGGATCCGACCCAAACTCTGATGGCGGAGTTGATCGCGCAGTGGGCGGGCCGACCCCGCCCCCACAGTACGGCGCTAGCGAAAGCGCGGCCTGCTGTAAGGCCGCGGGACGTGCCAGCCGCGAAGCGGTCAGAAGCGGGCCCTCAGGAGACGACGATGACGATGGCGGCAGCGGTGCAGCCCCCCCCCATTTTGCTGCTGCGCTGGCCGCGCGCTCCTCCCGCCGGCGTTGGTACGCCGGGCGGGCCCCTCCTTCCGCCACGCGAAGCGGGCCTCGCCGCGGTGCCGTTAGACACTAAGGCAAAGCCCAGGGTGGGCGGGCAAAAGAGGGCCCATTCGGGCCCTGGGAGGGCTTCGAGCCCCGAAGGCTTGAGCGGGAGAGAGGGAGAGAGAAGGGCAGGCAGAGGCAGGAGCAGGGAGAGGAGAAAACCCAAGCAGGCTGGGGAGGGCGGGGTCCAACCGTTTAGGACAAACAACTAAGACCCCGCCCCCACAGTACGGCGCTAGCGAAAGCGCGGCCTGCTGTAAGGCCGCGGGACGTGCCAGCCGCGAAGCGGTCAGAAGCGGGCCCTCAGGAGACGACGATGACGATGGCGGCAGCGGTGCAGCCCCCCCCCATTTTGCTGCTGCGCTGGCCGCACGCTCCTCCCGCCGGCGTTGGTACGCCGGGCGGGCCCCTCCTTCCGCCACGCGAAGCGGGCCTCGCCGCCTTTGTTCTATTGATACTGGTGCTGCTGCCAGTGACCCTGCACACTGGCCGCCTGGCGGATTCTACGCGCCGGCGTGCTGTGTGGGCGCCCTGATGGGCGTCACCAAAACTGGGTGCCAGGCTCTGTGCTGCCGGCACCGTCTATGCTCTGAGTCGCGCACCGCCTGGCGCACGCGCCGGCGTGCGCGCGGGGCCCAACTGGCCCTCCTGTCTGCCGACTGCCGCCAGGCAACTGATGCCGGCGCGCGCGGCTGTCCTCCGCGAGGTTAGGCCTTGGGCTCGCGCCGGCGCGTTGATTGCCGGCGAAGCCCGACCTCGGGCCGAGGCCCGAAGATGCCATCGCTAACGCTCGGCACAGGCCGGTGCTTGGCACCCCCGTCCGCGCCGCAGCCTCCAGATCTCCCGGCTCCCCGCCCCTGCACAAGTGCACGGGGCGGGCAGGGTGCGGCCCCTGACAGAGGGGGCCCCCCGGGCCGGCGCTGGGGTGCGGGCCTGTGCCTGCGCATGAATTCTGGTGCTGCGGCCACACTGGGCCGTCAGATTGCCAGCTACTGTGTCTTGAACTGACGTCAGTGTGCCCGGCACGACCAGGCTTGGCATAGAGAGCCGGCGTGCCAGGCAGGCTCCAGCACGGCCCGTGTCCAACGGCTGCAAGGGGACCCACAGTATCCCAGGCACTGGTGGGGCCCCGACGGACAGGCCTGTGCGCGTGCGCCCGCGCTGAAGTATTGGCCAGTGCCGAAGGCACGGGTGGGTGTGCCCTGCGAGCGCGCGGCTGATCCGCCGGCGGCGCAGGTGGTCTGGTGACTGCACTCAAGCACGCACGGCGGGCAGGCCGGCGGCTTGGGCTGGGCGCGCGCCAGGTGTGCAAGCACCGGCGGCGCCCGCTGCGGCCCCCTCATGGGCTCTCACGCCTGGCGCTCTCAGCGCCGGCGGCAGCTCTGCTGGGGGCGCTGTCCTTCGCCGGGTTGGTCAGCGAGGAGGTGCCCCTGGCCATCTTGCCGGAGATGCCCTTCATCGGCTCGTGCGACTCCCACAGGTAGCCGTGGAACGCGTCCGACTGCCAGCGCCCGAATCGGCGCACCCGGGAGAGGTCCTTGGTCACGTGGTACATTGCAGTCGCCCCGCCGATCCTCAGGGAATTGCTGCCGATTTCCTCCCTAGAGAGGCCGGCGGCCAGCCCCGCGACCGTCAGGAAATGCTGCACCTCGGCCCTGCGAATCGGTGTACCTGACGCCCAGCGGAAGAGGGGCAGCCGTTCCTCGGTGCCCTTTATCCGCTGGGGATGGTGAGCCTGGAGCCGCTCCATCGCCGCGATCGGGCAGAGCGTCGTGCCGGCGCGGTAGTGGTTCCTCACCGTCCCGACGTTGAGCTGGTCCGTCTTGCTGCCCTTGATGTAGATCACCATCTCGTCGGCGTCCTGGAAGCTGGGCACTCGCTTCCCGTCCTTCCTGGACTCTACGTCCTCCCCGTGCAGCACGCGCTCGAAGGACCACGAGCGCCCGTCCTGGAGGAGGTATTCTGAAGCCCTCAGGAGGAAGAAGAACGCTGTCACAGTGGCCGCCCAGATGACCACCGCATCCTCCTCGGGGAGCTTGGCTTCTTGCTGGGGAAAGCCGCGGAGCCACTCGAGCATGGCTGGCGTGACGGGCTTCTTCCGCTTGGTCTCGGGCCCCTGCCAGCGCTTTAGCCCTGCCAGGGTGCTCCAAAGGCGACCCCTGTGGAGCAATGGATCCGAGTAGCCGGCCACCAGGTGGGCGTAGCGCACCGCGAAGAGCTTCTGCTTGATGGTCCCCTCGGTCCTCCCGACGACCCGCGCTAGGAGGACGGCGAAGTTGATGAGCGCCTCCTCGTCGGCCAGGCGCTCCTCGCGATCGCGTCCTGGGAGCCAAGGGCTAAGCCCCTGCGCCTGGCGCACAGCTACCCAGAGCCGCCATCCTCCCTCGTAGCCTGCCCTCGTGCCTTCGCTGAGTTTCTGCAGCATGGCCTCCATCTTCTGCCGCGCGAACCAGCTGGCGCAGTTGGCCCCGCCAGGCTCAGCACGGCCGGCGGGGGCGAGCTCCTTCCCGGGGTAGTTGTTCTTCCGCGCTACGCCCAGCGCCTGCGGCTTCACCAGGTTGGTCGCTGGCATCTCTTTGGCGCGTCGGGGGCTCTTTTTACGAGGGCTCTTCGAGCGAGTTACACTCTTGTCCAGCTTGACCTGCTCTGCGGCCGGAGCTTCGCGGGGTCCGATGAGCGTGTCCTCAACGATCATCTTGAAGCGGACTGCTTGGGCACGCCGGCGATTCTTGTGCATCTCATCAGTGAGCGCCCCTCCTGCCCTTGCCTCGTCCTCCGCTGCCAGCGCTAGCGCGGGCTGATCTGGAGCCTGTGCCCAAGCGCGGAGCCAGCGCTTGGTAGCATCCCACGCG